AATTATTCTCGATATCCAAAGGAACCAACGGGACCGTACGTCCTCTCGATTCTCACTCTCCTCTCGATCGGTGTGCGACGAGACGCGCGATAAATCGCGCTTGCTTTCCCCATCCCTCCATTACGTTTATCTCTTTAATTTTTTCCCTCCGGTTTCTCCTCCCTTCCTCCACCACCCACCCACCCACCAATCTCCTCCCCGTTCCCTCTCTCTCTTTCTCTCTCTCTGTCTCTCTCTCTCTCTCTCTCTCTCTCTCTCTCTACTGTCTCACGCAACTTCGATACACTCTTCGATCGAATCTACTGTCGCGGATTTAACGCTCGCGTGCTAGAATTCATCGTGAAGAACTAGGACGCGCCTAGTCTCAGTCCTCGTGATAACCCATCGTCGACACTTATTATCTCGATAAAAACGCTCGAACGGTACGCGCACTAAACCATCGACATTGAATGCTATGGTAACAAATATGGACGTTAGAGAAGCAATGCGAGCTTCTTCTACGAGTCTACGATATTGCGAATAGGGTGAGATGATGAAAAGTGATGGCTTGTCTCTAGGTCAATGGTCTCTGGCCTTTAAGAAATAATTCTTATCGTTTAGCGATATCAAATTGAACGAGATTCGTTCTTTAAAATAATCATACTTCCTAATGTATACTTTAGTAATATAATGATTTAAGGTAAAAAAAAAGAACCTCGAATCATGAATAAGTATATACGTGACATATGAAATTCTTATAAATGATATCATAAAAAATAAATTATATAAAACCGTAAAACGTAGAAAAAAATATAAAGTTAGAACGAAAGAAGTACAAGGGAGGAAAAGGGACAGAAGAGGTCGGTCGGATTAAAGCTGACAATTATGGGGGCCACAAGTTGGCCCCACGTTGGCCCGATGTTTCCTTCTTCCTCCTTTATATTACTACTTCCTATTCGTCGCGAGTCAGTGGTACTCGGGATGGATATATGGTAAGGTTGTTGTAAGAAAGGGAAGAAAGTAAAGGGAAGGGTCGGTGGGCCGAAGGCATACTCGCGTTAGCTGACTTATACTCGAGCTGTTTCACGGCATATGCGAGCCGCGTGGGTGGACGATTCCAACCGAGTATACGCTTGCGTGTGTTGTCTATGTATGTATGCCCGCCACCTCCACCATCTCCTCCTTCTCCTTCTCTTCTATAGCGGAGAGGAGGCATATGGTCAGCAGGTGAGAGCTCCGCTTTGTGTATTCCAAGTGTATAAAGTAGCCCAGTTCGAGTGGCCGATGTTACACTCGGACATAACTCACAGTAGAATGGAAGAGAGAGAGAGAGAGAGAGAGAGAGAGAGAAGGAGATAGATAGATAGATAGATAGATAGAGAGAGAGAGAAAGAGAAAAGGGTTGGGAGTCGGCTTCTCCTGAAATGCTAACGATCCCTTCGAGCAGAAGCAGCATCAGGAGGAGGCGGCAGTGGTGGCGGCCGCCTTGGTGAGACGGGACGAAACGGGACGGATGGGACGGTTGGGACGGGACGGGACGGGACGGGACGGGACGGGACGGGACGGAACGGAACGGAACGGTGCGGGACGCCGCGGGACGGAACGGGACGTGAAGGGTGAACCGGTGGTTAAACCACGCGGAATGTTCTGGATACCGTGCGAGAACGTGGTATCGTGTACGTGAGTGCGTGCATGCGTGCTTTCCTGCGCACACGTGTACCAAGTACTATTCGCTAACATTGTAAGAAAGAGAGTGAGAGAGAGAGAGAGAGAGAGAGAAAGAGAGATTAGGATTAGAGGGTGAAGTATGTAAAAAGGATCATGATGCCTCGTTAAAACGAAAACTTTTGATTCTGAAGTAAAAAATAGCGGATGGGGAAGGATGGAGGAATTGGAGGGTGGGCGGATGGTACGGGCAAAGAAAAAAAGGGAAGGAAAAATAAGGAAAGAAAGGGTTGGGGGTTGTTGAGGGGCAAAACGGGGGGTAAGATTTCGAGGTGAGAGATGGCCTTTAGGAAATACACTGGGTGTCGCTTGATATATTTTTCCATTATTAAGGACATTAAGCCGACGGCCCGCGGCCAGGCGACTCTTTCCGTTTTCTTCTTTTTCTCCTTCCTCTTTTCATTTCTCTTCGCGGACCTTGCCTTCCTTCTTCTTCTCATTCTATTCCATCCTCTGTCCCGTTTCCCTCCCTCCCACCCTCCCTATCTCCCTACCTCCCTCCCTTTTTTCACGGCAGCGACGACTATAAATCAGAAAAAAAGATTCAAACCGCCAGTATGGTCGGAACGTCGGGACGCAATTTTCCGTCTGCCAAGAGATAAAAATTTGATTAATGAATACGTTGCTCGTTGGTAATTCGAGAAACGCGAAAATTCTTCTTTTAAGCCTCTTCTATCTCTTGTAGAAGGACTAAACCAAGAAATCGTTGAGATTTTTTGGTGGGCTCGTTGATGAACCACGTAAATGACAGCAACGATACGAGTAACGATTAAGAAGCGTTTATCTGTAAGAGAAAACACGGTTGAATATGTGTAATTTTTTTGAACGAAATCGTTCTAAGTATATCCTATCTAAATTATTTTCTCACGGACTTACAAAAGAAATAAACTAGAAATTTCTATTAATTACAGTTTTTTCTACTATAAAATTTACTTAAAAAAAAAAGGCATTATCAATTATTTAACAATGTATCTGCTCGTAATGATGCCGTCAATCTTGATTTATTTCGTAGAAAAAAGAAAAGAAAAAGGAAGATGAAAAGAAAAATGACAAAAAAGAAAGAAAAAGGAAACAAATAAATAAATACTTAAGGAAAAAAAAAAAAAAAAGAAAGATCTATCACCAGGTGTCGTACAAATATATTCGATAATAAGGAAGAAATTACACGAAGGGAACACATCGAATTAATTCGGTAATTCTGGGTTCCGCGAATCAAGATCAATTTCATTCAAATAGGCGAGTAACAGAACTCGACCCACCGTGTCCAGTTTTGGAATGAACGGGTGGTATATATTGGGTTTAAGAAAGAGGTGGGAGAGAAGGTGGGAGGAGGTGACAGAGGAGATAGTAGAAAAAGCTTGAGGAAAAAGACAACGAGTAAAATCGGCTGACAGTCTCTCCCTCTCTCACGAGGATTAAGAGTCAGGGATGCCCAGTGTCGATCGTAAGCAGTCAACCATCGGCCGTTAGCTGAAACCAAAAGTAAAGGGTTGAAACTCAAAGAAACTTGAGAACCCCCGGTGACAATTTCAATTCTCTCTCTATCTTCCTTTCTCCTTATTTCTTTTTCTCCTCCGCCTTCACCTTCTTCTCCTCCGATCCTCCTCGTTACACTCATAAGAAGAAGGGTGCCGTGAGATTCTTAAAACTTCTCACGAGATTTTTCGATTTTAATTACAGTTTTAACATATTTTAATAAAATCCTCTGCCGTCTTCCCACACCATTGCCGTTCCACCGCCTATCGCTATTCTGATTCTCTCTCTCTCTCTCTCTCTCTCTCACTCTCTGTCTTTGTTTCTCTCTGTCTCGCTCGTTCTTTTCTCTCTCTTTTCTTCACTTTAATTCCGTTCAAGTTTCAAGCTGTTTCTCTCTCTTTTTTTCTCTCTCTCTCTCTCTCTTTCTCTCTTTCTCTCTTTCTCTCTCTCTCTCTCTCTCTCTCTGTCTCTCCTTCTGTTCCCCTTTTTTTCTCTCATCTAACAGGCACAAAATTCAAAGCAACTTTTATTCTGGACTGTAACTCGCTTGTGTATAACATTAACCCTTTCGTTCGTTCACCCACACCCACACTCGCTGATGGAGCAACACCTGTTCTTCCAGGACGTGGCCTAAACCGAACGTTCTTCTTTCTCATGGTCTCGGTCCTTCCAACAGTTTCGTTTTCCTACGTCCCGCGAAGTACAGGACCGAGAAATGACTCTCGGCGCTTCTCGATAAGTTTTATCCATTTTTATTTTATTAATATTAAGAGAATATCGTTTCGTAGTGTATAATACAGGTAACAGTAAGACTAAGATTTTGCGTCGAATACACAATTTTCTCTTTAATAAATTGTATTCGACGCAATCGTAAACATAATACCGTAATAAAAATTAACGAGGCATTATGTAGGCCGTTAGATCATTTTCATAGAACTTTCGTTACGTAATTTTGGTTATGATAAATGAACGATTCGATATCGTACGACGGAACGAGAAAAAGAATCGGCGCGATGACCTCTGACTTCAATGCCGGTGCCGGCGGTATTAAACTTCTGCCGCTACGTAAGTAATATTCCTATTAAAGTTCCGAATACGATGTATATATATATATATATATATATATATATATATATATATATATAATATATATATATGTTATAATGTTATAATATTGTACATATATATTATAATAATTATAATCTGAAAAGCTCATTTATTCTTTCTCTCTCTCATTCTCTTTCTCTCTCTCTCTCCCTTTCTCTTTCTTTCTCTCTTCGTACTATACTTAAACTATTGAAAGATCCTTCCTTTAAGGGATCATAATTGACATGTATTCAACGGAGCTTTTGAAGCTCTCTCTATAATCCTTGAGACTAAATATATAAATACGATAGAATACGATAGAACGATAAACGAGTGATTTAGTCATTGGATCGAGCGAATCAATGAGTCATGCATGCGAGTAATAATAATAATAATAATAATAATAATAATAATAATAATAATAATAATAATAATAATAATAATAATAATAATAATAATAACAACAACAATAATTTTTATTGGTAGAATATATTTTTTCTTTTCTTTTCTTTTCTTTTCTTTTAAAGTAGAAAGAATGTAAAATGCATATTTATGTATCTATTTATATACATAATATGGCAAAATGAGGACATTATCATTACGATTATCATTCGTACGCAATGAACGAATGAATTAAGACTTAATGAGAAAACGAGTTTAGGGTTGATTTGCCATTCTCCGTTGCTCGACGAAAAGTGCAGCGTACCAACTAACCCCGGCAGTTCTTCTCGCAGATCTTCATGCACAAGAGCGCGATGCAGATGCACGCGAGGGAGCTGGGTGCTGGCGCACTGACGGCAAGACCCGGGGGTGGCGTCGCAGGAGGCCTCGCGGGTCTCAGCGTCGGTGTTGGCGTTGGCGTCGGACCCGGGGGCATGATCACCGGTAACGAGGTCAAACCACACCAGTGCCAGCAATGTCTCAAGTCCTTCTCGAGCAATCATCAGCTCGTGCAGCATATCAGGGTTCATACCGGCGAGAAGCCCTATAAGTGCAGCTACTGTGACCGCAGGTTTAAACAGCTTAGCCATGTGCAACAACATACCAGGCTACACACGGGTAAGTTCATTTATAATTTCTTCTTTATTTTTTGTTTTATTCTTCCTCTTCTTCTTCTTCTTTTTTCATCTTTCTTAATCATCAATTATGACGCTTCTTTTTAATGTAATAGAAATATTCTTATAAAATATTTTCAACATAACGGAACTACTTTTTTTTTTGTTTTTTCTTATCTTTTTTATATCAATAATAAAATAAGCCTCGATGAAAATAATCTCGCGAAACAATCTCGTTATTACAAGATGAGTTAAGTGTACTGATGTATCGATCATTTTAAAGGATTCGCAATAAAGGTATAAGATGAAGAAAAACTGATAGCGGACCGGGAACCGATCGCTCGCGTCGAGATAGAAAGAATTTCATTAAGGGATGAACGTAGTCAGTCGGAAGGTATTAGCCTTGAAGCGAACGTTCGTAACCGTATATACGAATCGACCCTTGGAAAAATCTCGGCGATCTCAGCTGAGATTTGTTTTAGGACCGTGAAGTAGTAAAAAAAAAAAATAAATAAAAAAGAAAGAAAGAAAAGATCAAAAAAAGAGAAAAGAAAAGAAAAGCGAGTCTTCGTTGGCATGCTAACTATTTAATCGAAGGGCGAAGAGAGGGTGCTCTTTTCAAAGTAACGACGAAGAAGGCGTTTAAAACCGCATCTAATCGTAATTTCTAAGAGATCACTCAAATATCCTTCACAAGTATTGTTCACTCATTGAAAAATGATAAATCTCTGATAAACCTCAGATAATTTCAAATTCTTTTCTTTTTTCTCTTACATACAAAGATATATATATATATATATATATATATATATATATATATATATGTATATATATATCTTTGTTTGTATATATATATATATATTTTCTTTTTTTTTTTTATTTATACATAACCTTCAAATACGCGACAATGACGAGAATTAATTGTGAATATTACTCATTCGGCGAATTATTTTAATTGCCAAATGTACAAATAATTATCGAAAAAATATGAAGAAAAAAGAAACAGATAATTTTACGAAATAAACGTAAAAGTAAAAAATGTTCAGTTTAATTCGATTCGATTCGATTCGGTTGGATTCAATTCGGTTCGGTTCGGTTTGTTTCTTCGTTGGTCGTATGCATACGTGTGACGGTAACGCGCTCGTACGAAGGCTTTGCTCGAAAGTTCGTCTTTCTTGGCCGTAGCTCAGGATAAAAGAAGGGCTCGCATTGATTTTAGCCCACCGCCCAACCCAACCGCCCACTTCTCGACGCAGCCTTCTCTTTCGCGGCCACCCATGGCCAAATAACTACTGCTCAGCCACCCCTTACATTAATAACCACCCTGGCTATCTCCGCCCTCCCGCACCACCTTGCATATACTAGGTGCTCAAAACGTACCGCGTGCTAGATCGTACACGCGAGAACTTCGGTGCCGCATATGCGACTCCGACTTTTCACCTTTTCATCGATGTAAACGTCATTGTATTTAATGGAACTAAAGGAACTCGTACGCCCACGTCTCTTTCTTGAAAATAGGAACATTTACACAACTAATGTATACTTAAACAATACCAAGTTTCAACGATCTCGTACACATATGTGTGTTATATAAGTATATATATATATATATATATATATATATATATTTATATATATATATATATTTATATGTATATGTATATGTATATGTATATGTATATGCATATGTATATGTATATGTATATGTATATGCATATGTATATGCATATGTATATGTATATGTATATGTATATGCATATGTATATGCATATGTATATGTATATGTATATGTATATGCATATGTATATGTATATGTATATAATCCTTTTCTATTTGATATTTAATAATATCATAAGATAAACTATATTACATAGAATTATTACAATAGATTAATTTAATCGATGTAGGTTTTGTCTCGATGTAGGTTAATTTTAATTATGATCGATAAAATCTTCAAAGACACAGATGAGTATTATTTGAGCATCGTTTTTATATTACCCTTTAAACGTAAAACAAAGGAGAAAAGACGTAAAAATTGATAGCAAGTAAAAACCGAAGAGAATATCTTTGGTCCGATCGAATGCAGCTTCCCTCTTTAATATCTCCCTGTGTCATCCGGAATATCTGCCGACACGGATTCAAAAATTGGCGGGCGGTTCGTGCCTCGTTACCCACCAACCACCATTTTCCCGACAGCTCGAATTCCGACAAACGGCTGCTTGCAAACCGCGCATACCGCTTTCCTTCCGATATAGTCCCGATACGGCATTTACGCGGCGTATTGATCTCTCGTTTCGACGAGATTCTGGCGTGGCGCGATTGGTCGATTGGATTCAAAAAACGGCGGGAATTTACTGCTTCGCTGCGACCGACTGCTGCTTCTCTCTCTCTCTCTCTCTCTCTCTCGTTCTCTCTCGGCACTCACCCTCTATTCCCGGGCCTTTATGTTTATATACATTATATATAATACATATATATATATATATATATATAATACATATATTATATATTATGTGCCAGGTATATATATATATATATATATATATATATATATATATATGGCACATATATAATTCATTAACCGAAATTTATCAGAATGCGTGCGAGAGGTGAAACGGACAATAGGTGGTGTAGAGGAGGGAGGGTAGTTAAGGGAGAGAAGGGGTGGATCGGGCAAGTAGGAGGGGATAAAGGAATGAAGAGAATAGAAGGAATGGCGAATATAATATCGAGTGTCGACGATATCGATACCCGGTCAATAGCTGCAGACTAGACAAATACGAACGGAGGGTGTAAAGGGAGGAAGAGAGAGAGAGAGAAGAACGACCAAGCGAACGAGGAAGAGAGAGAGAGAGAGAGAGAGAGAACGAGAACATCTTCTCAAGCATCCCCCTCCTGGCGTCCGTGCGAGGGTGACTGCGCTGCGGCATCCAATAGGAAAGCCGATGGCCCCACCGAACTCGGACCGCGCAAAAAAGCGCGGGAATTTTTCGATTGCCCGATCGTTCAATAATGGAAGCGAAGTTACGCGTGTCGCCACTGTCGAATAGGCGCGCGCGCGAGCGCGCGCACGTACGTACGTTCGTTCGTCCGCTCGCTTGAACGTTGCACATGCACTCACGTAGTCTGTGATTGTGAGTATTCTATAGATATAGTGTGGCCAGCGTTAAACACAGTTACATATACAGGGGTTGCTGCTGCCTGGCAAAGATTATCCCTTCGGCAACGAGCAAAACTCAATTTCGACAGGAAAATCTAATGATCGGTCTATTCCACGCTCACGATCGAACGCATGCTTCTAATCAGTTTTCGAGGGGGCGATAACTCGTTAAAAAGACCGTTCGAAATTCATGGGAAGGGTGTCGATTAAGTTTAGAAAAAGAAAAAAGAGATATGTACTTAGGTACTTACATACTTTCGTTACTTTTTTTCTCTTCCCAATTTTTCTCAACGACCGTTCATATGTGAATGTGTGTGTGTGTGTATATATATATATATATATATATATATATATATATATATATATATATATATATATTATAATATCGATCGATCTATCCTATCCAGTTCTAAACGCTTGTCTAAGAATAGAAAAATTTTAATACACTTTTCTATCTTTATTCTTTCGGATTTTACAGGTCTCATTAAAGTTTTAAACGCGGTTACTTTCAAATTTCCAAATTTACACGGATAGTATCGATGAGGATCGAAGAGGTTCTCTTATGCACTAGTAATTTTGTACGGTTATCATCGAAGCTCGACGACGACAAAACACAGTCTCTCCTCTCCCCCCATCCCTTTCGATTGCCGAGCCGGCTGGCTAAAGTATCATTTGAAAAAAGGATCACGTATTCACGACGAAATTGACCGGACAATTTTAAAGCCCACTTAATGCCGCGAAAAATTACCGTTTCGCCTGTGCATGAATAAAAATTAAGGCTCTTTCGCGAAAGGGGTTGTACTTCTCTCTTTCTCTTTATTTCTCTCTGTCTATCTATCTATCTATCTGTCTGTCTATCTGTTTCTCTCTCTCTCTCTCTCTCTCTCTCTCTCTCTCTCTTTCTTTCTTTCTCTTTCGACTCTGGCAAATGACTCGCGTTCTCATAACGAGTCTGCATATTCCTATTTACGAGGTGCCGCCGTAAAGTGAAGCAAAAAAGGACAACCGATCTAGAATTCAGACGTCGAATTTCTCCTTTTTTCAACCCCTTCATCTCTCCCCACTTTCCTATATCTCTGTGCTTTTGAAACATCGCCATCAGTAACAGCAGAAACAGCAGAGGCAACTCGATTTTCTCTGTGACGAGCCGTCACCCTCGCGAGCCTCCTTTTTCTGTCTACCTCGCACTTTTAATTCGGTAATTTTGCCCGTTTAAGAATTCATGCGACGGAATGCTTCGTCAGACGTCTCGAGAAAAATCAAAGCAACGAAAACGTTCCTCATCTCTCTCTTTCTCTCTCACTCTCTCTCTCTCTCTCTCTCTCTCTTTCTTTCTCTTTCTCTTTCTCTTTTTCTCTCTTTCTCTCTTTCTTTACCTTCTCTTGTGAACCCGACAAAGTCAACGCAAAAGAAAGAGCAACAACGGCCCGTACCTTCTTCAAGAATCTGATAAAAGATTAAGAAAAGTCGGTAATCGCAAGCAAGGAACTACCCCTTTTTTTCGCCTCTCCTATTTTTTTTTTTTTGTTCTTGAGAACATTTTTTATCTTTCGTCTTTCGCATCGGCTTTAATGATGATAACATCGCGACCATGAACCAATTCGATATTAGCAATCGATTAGAATTATCATTTTCGATATAGGGTCGATCGCCGATCGGTAGAACGAAGATAGAAGGATGAAGAAGTAATTAAGCGATACATCGTCCGCGAAGAGTAAATATTTAGTCCAATAATATTAGTTCTAACGTTTACTCGTACCGGCCAAACATTCATTCAATTTCCGAATTTGCACCGAATTCTGACGGCTACGTTTGTACATATTCTATACCAAATCAATATACGT